TTTTCTTTATCCGCAGCCTCTGTATTATTTACATACATAGTGCATTTTTCAGCTAGCTGCGCTCTATTGAACAGTGAACTCCAGGTGTCACAGCTGTATCGGCTGGCGTTTGTAGACTTTCTTACTTCAGTCTGCTATAACAAAGTACCATAAATTGGATGGCTCATAAACAACAGAAGTTTATTTCTCTCAATTCTGGAGGCTAGAAGTAGGAGATGAAGGTGCTGGCAGCTTCGGGTCTGGTGAGGGTGCATTTGGTTTCCAGAAAGCTGTCTTCTTGCTGTGTCCTCATGGCAGAGAAGTTAGAGAGCTTCAAGGTTCTCTTTAAAAACACTAACCCTTTTCATGAGGATTTCTACCCTCCTAACCTAAGACCTTCAAAGGCCCTACCTCCTAATACCATCTCATTGCAGGTTAGGATTTCAACATAAAAGTTTCGAGGGGATGCAAACATGTAGGCAGGTAGGCAAACTTATGATGACCAAGAACCAGTTCCGACCTCAGGAAAGGAAGCAGTAAGGGTAATATTTCACTGGAGAAGTTACTGCCCATTTCTAGAGACGGCTGATTAAGAGCTCTCCCTCCATTCCACCTTGTGAAAATTGCCGCCACATACCATGTAAAAGCATGAAGTCATCTTTTTTAAACACGAAAATAAGTATAAGTTCATGGTGGAGACAGTGTTAAAAAAAAATCACTCACTATATCTAATCTAAAACAAATTTTTCAGTGGCTCACACTTACAATCCCAGCACTCTGGAGGGCCATGGTTAGGAGGATTGCTTGAGCCCAGGAGTTCAAGACCAGCCTGGGCAACATAGTGAGATCCCAACCTATATAAATTAAACAGAAAACATTAGCCAGGTGTGGTGGCGCACACCTGTAGTCCCAGCTGTTCAGGTGGCCAAGGTGGGAGGAATCACTGGAGCCCAGAAGTCAAGGCTGCAGTGACCCAAGGTCGGGCCACTCACGGCATTCCAGCCTGGGTAGCAGAGCAAAAGTAAAAAGTAAAACAAGTCTTTAATAGTTTCTGAGAACACCCATCACAAAGAGATATTCAAGGATTAATAATAATGGCAATGACTGCCATTTAATCAGAGAATACTGTGGGCCTGTGGCTCTACACAGGTTCCCTCTTTTATTGCTTTTTATTCTGAAAACATTCCTGTGAGGTAGACAGTTGGTGTCTGAGCTCTTTCTGCCTCTTAGTCAGTTTGGGCCCCATCCTTCCCCAACTTACATTCCCCTCTGCTTCTCTTCCACACTCAGCTCATTCCCCTAACCTGTTTCTGTTGGAGCTCTCCCACCAAATTTCGGACTGAAAGAACAAACCTGTGGTGGGTCTGCGGGAACATAAGGGCCATGGGCAGGCTTCCTGTTCCCTCCCTCTTCATCTCTTCTTTCTCTTAAATGAAGGCATCAGACTTTTTAAGCAGTTACCAGAGAGCATCTTGAAGGAGTCTGTCTTGTTCAGTATCAAAACCACTGATGTTTGGTCCTCTGCCTAGTACATGGGCATTCAGTGAGTGAGCGAATAAATCCAGTACACATCATACATTTATTTAAGAGAGTTTTGCTTGGTCTGTGGAACTGATTTTAAGTATTGACTGGATCATGCAAGTCTCTTGAGCATGGAACACGATTGTACCTGAAACAGCTGTTCATAGTGAAGGTGTGAGGAGCCTCAGAGATAGAATCTTCTAAATTAACCACTCTGTATATGGTATAGCCATGCTGCGGAAAGGTATTTTAAAATTAATAACCAAGACCATTTCCCAAGTGTTTGTCTCTTCTTAGGATCAGTACTCCACCAAATGGTTTGGGCAGGTATGTTAAGCTCTTTATAGGTTTTTAAGGTTTTAAAACTTTTATTAATGTACTTGAATATACTATGTTGGCACTCCAGAAGCCAACACAATGCTTTGGAATGGTATCGTGGCCAAATTATGGTGGCCCCAAGTGTATGTAACAGTGATTTATAACAACAGCTAACAGGGTTGGATGAATGTCCCAATTCTTAATATTTAGAGAACCCAATTATAGAATGCATGTTGAAATGAAAATTGAATAGCCTGTAACTGGATACTTACCATTCCCCTCTTTCTCCCAGCTAACATGGTTTATAATGTAAACAGTATGGCCATCTATTAGATTCCTTTGAAGGTGAGATTGCGGAGATAGAAGAGCAAGGAGGAGCCAGTTAGTGGATCAGAAAATGAAACTTCTATGCTTAAAATGGTCATAAATATAGCTCTGAGCAAAATCTTCTGTCATTTGTCACTAATTTAGCTTCTAGGTGCTAAGATGTGTTTCTCATTTTCAGTATTGTTTACACTTTCCTACGTGTCAAGGACAGGTTGAGAACTGAGGAAAGTTTCCTGCTTATTCAAAGCTAGGTAGGCTTAGAATGGTTTTAACATTCTTTTATCATCCAGTTTACTTGACAGTGGCTATGGGTTTGTTGCAGTTCTGCATCCGTTTTGGTACTTGTTTTATAAAGAGAATTTACACAGTAAACAAAAAGGGAGGAGAGAGATAATATTTTTTAATACACTGTAAAAATTCGGATAGTTGGCCGGGCATGGTGGCTCACGCCTGTAATCTCAGTACTTTGGGAGGCCAAGTTGGGTGGATCACCTGAGGTCAGGAGTTTGAGACCAACCTGGCCAACATGGTGAAACCTCGTCTCTACTAAAAATAAAAAATTAGCCGGGTGTTGTTGTAGGCGCCTATAATTCCAGCTACTCAGGAGGCTGAGGCAGGAGAATCACTTGAATGTGGGAGGTGGAGGTTGCGGTGAGCGGAGATCACGCCATTGCACTCCAGCCTGGGGGATAAGAGTGAGAGTTCATCTCAAAAAAAAAAAAAAAAAAAAAAAGGGCATAGTGCCTCCATCTGCTTATCTGTTGATGTACTGTTCACAGTGCTGGTCCCAAAGGCGATAACATCTATGAATGGAGATCAACCATTCTAGGGCCTCCAGGATCCGTGTATGAGGGTGGTGTATTCTTTCTCGATATCACTTTTACACCAGAATATCCCTTCAAGCCTCCAAAGGTAAGACATTTCCTTGATTTATGCTCAAATTTACTAATTCCCACGGGAGAGACTGTTGAGATTTTCTAAATTTAATGTTTAATCGCAAAAATCATAAACAACTAGAGAATGAGAATCTCTTACCAAAGGCCTGGATTCAGTTCTCCTCCCTGTCATGTTTTGGTCTTACTCAGTTCCTTACCTCTAGGCCTCAATTTTTTTCTAGGACAGGTGGGGATTGCCCAAGTCACCCATCTCTCCTAACACTCAATCATCTGTGATTCTCATTCAGTCAGAAAGAAAACCCCTTCTTGGGGATTAGGTAGACTGCCAGGTAAAAGTACAATTGCAGCAACAAGAAGTAATTGAAAGTCGCTTTTTTAAAAAAAATTGGTAAAATTACAGGTAATTTTTGTGTTTCGGTGTATTTCACAAATAAAAATTAAGAGCCCAAACAAAATAACACATGCTCCTGTGGCTTGTGTTCTGCTGTGGCCCTTGCCCATGACTGGCTCTGCATCCATGGAGACTTGATTTCATAATAGTAAATTCTGTGATTTAGGTAGACAGGATGTCTACTGGACCTGATCTAAAGGTCAGAAAAAAGCAGAAATAGGTATCTCTTCAAATTTGGTAAGCTTTCTGGGTGTGTGGTCATTGTTTGCTAAGTATGTTGTTTAATTATCTTTGTGTACCCATTATGTTGCACTCCGGTTTTTAAGACGTATTTATGCTTCTCAGTATTTCTCAAAGCTTACTTTGAGGCAGTGTAGTACTGTCAGCTAACACAAGAGGTCAGCCAACAATGAGCTATTCAAACTTGGAGATGTTAATATTTAAAACATTTAAAATTGCCAAAGATGAAATTAGGAAGTATACCTTTCAGTGGACATAACATTTTAAAAGAACTTGACACGTTTCCTATGAATGATATCAGTGAAGACTTTCTAATCACCTTTATTAAACAAGTCTATTTTCTTGACAGCTTTAATTAAAACAGCTTTTATTCACCTTTTTAAAACCTACATATCTGGGAGTTTTTTTGGTTTCTAATTAGGGTCGTTCAGTAGAATACTTAGTAAAAAGTTTAATTGTTTGCTGTTTAAATATTGTTTGACACTTCCTTGATTTTTTAGGTTACGTTTCGGACGAGAATCTATCATTGTAATATTAACAGTCAAGGTGTTATTTGCTTGGACATATTGAAAGACAATTGGAGTCCAGCACTAACCATTTCTAAAGTCCTCCTTTCTATCTGCTCACTTCTCACAGACTGTAATCCTGGTAAGCTTAATAATTCTTTACCTTGTTTTACTCTTCGTCACCTGAAACATAGTTCTTTTCAAAAGCTTTCAAAGGACAAAACTAATTTTTCTGTACAACTTTGTGAATATAAAAATTTGCTTTTCAAAGAAAGTTTTAATCAAGAGAAGTCCCATCTACTAGTTGAGAAACACAACTTCATTAATCGGTATACTCTAGCAACAAGGTATTTTAAACTGAAGACTTACGTAAGTTTGCCTTAGGTTTTTACAGTTTCATTCTTCCTTTTCTATTTTTCCTGTTGCTTATTTTCCCATACAGTTCTCATAAAACAAATCATATACTTATAAATGTCGAGCCATCTGCCTCACAAGCCTCACCTGTGCCTGTGGAGTTCCCCACTGAGATGGCACTCAAATTTTGAAAATGGTATTTGTTAAATACTTAAGTGACTATTGTGACTTTTTTGGGACTTCATTTCATTTAAAAGAGAGTTTTCTGTAGTCTCAGGTACTAAGGAGACTGAGGTGGGAGGATCGTTTGAACTCAGAAGGTTCAAGGCTGCGGTGAGCCATAAGCATGCCACTGCACTCCAGCCTGGGTGCCAAAGCAAGACCCTGTATAAAAAAACCACCACCACCACACATTCACAATACAAATACACATGCATACACACACACGTATATATGTATATATATTAGTTTCTAGGTAAAGCAAATATAAATTTAGTTATTAAAGATCCCAAGATTCAGAGAAACACTATACTTAATTGGAGGTCCAGGTTTTGACCTGGCAGCCTGGATCTTTAACCAGCTTGTAAAGGTAAATAGTGTTGCATTGCAACAGCCCCAAAGACTTCACAGTATTCACAATGCTGTAATTGGTGACACTGAACTAAAGGTGACGTGAACACAGTTGGATATTCATTGTAGCCTGGGGCTCTGACCATTCCAGTCTGTATTGAACTCAGCCTAACACCTAAGAGTACAGACACTCCAATTGGGTGTTGTTTGTTGGGAGAAAAATGGAATGAACTAAGATAAAGACTGACCAGTACACTGAAGCCTGAGCATTCCCTCTTCCCCCACGTTTTTAAATTTTTAATAGAACAACATCCAGCATGGTGGTGTTTCAAAGATGGGTTTGATCACACATACTTTGTTGTACCTGTCTACCCAAGCTGTCACTGATTGATTTGCTAAAGTTTAAAATGTTCTTTTCCTTTCTCCAAAGTAACCTACATTCTTTTCTTCCAGCCGACCCTCTGGTGGGAAGTATTGCCACTCAGTATATGACCAACAGAGCAGAACATGACAGAATGGCCAGACAGTGGACCAAGAGATACGCTACATAAATTGGGTTTTCACAATTCTTACATTATTTGTCTGTCACAGAAGAGAGCTGCTTATGATTTTGAAGGGGTCAGGGAGGGTGGGAAGTTGGTAAAGAGTAGGGTATTTCTATAACAGATATTATTCAGTCTTATTTCCTAAGATTTTGTTGTAACTTAAGGTATCTTGCTACAGTAGACAGAATTGGTAATAGCAACTTTTAAAATTGTCATTAGTTCTGCAATATTAGCTAAAATGTAGTACGGAAAAGAATGTACATTTAGACATTCGGGTTCAGTTGCTTTTAGTCTGTAAATTTAAAACAGCTTAATTTTGCACAGGTTACACATATGGCCATTTATGTAAAGTCCCTGTAAGACTACATAATTTTTGTTTAAAACAAAATTGGAATTTGTTTTCCCTTCTTGGAAGGGAACATTGATATTTAAACAGAGTTTTTAGAGACTGTCATCTCATATATATGAAGTGGACACGTGGCTGTAAAACACCATATAAAAAGGACTGTTTTATTTTATATGCCAATCTGCTTTGTTTAAAAAGGTCTGAATCAGGACTTGTGAAAACCTGTAGTGAAATACCTTAAGCTGTTAACTGTAAGGCGTGGAATAGGAGTTGCTCAGTGGATTGGTTATGTTGTGGACTACTAAAGTCTGCATTTGTTACTGTGCTAATAAACAATATTAAAAACCACCACCTAATACTGCTATGTTCGTTTACTTTAACATTTTGCATAATGTTACACAGAATGAATATGGTATATTCTCAAACACCTTGGGGTTGGGAGGAATACACAAGTATGTGCATTTGCATAACTACCCAAACTTTTTACTGTTTTCACAAGTACAACATAAAAAACAAAGGTGCTCATTTCAAAGACAGGTTTCAAACAATGAGAGTACGAATATATTATTTCATATCAGGCAATAATAAACTTAGCCCAAGTAATTAATTATAACATCTAAAGTGCATTAAATGACTTCCTTAGGAATCTTCCTAAGGACCAAAGGTAGATACAGACGGCCTATTTTAAACGGTAATATTACTCCACGTTCACAGACACTTAAAGGCGATCACTGTTCAACATACAATTGTAGAATTACTGATTTTTAGTTCTCAGAGCTAGAGTTCCCTTTGTTTTTCCTCCCAGGCAAAGGAAAACTTGATTTGCTCTGGGGTTGGGAAAGTTTACTTGCTAATAAAGTGAATGGTTCAATCAGAGTTTTCCGATCAGTAACAGTCACCTCCCACAGTCTCACCTTCTCACTTTTTGCCCACTGCTGTGCCACTTCAGCATCCACTTGTCTCTGCTCAGAAAGGTCGATTTTGTTTCCTAATACAACAATTGCTACCTGAAAGAAAACAGATTGAAAAGATCATACTAGTACTTTGTCAACATCAGTTCCTAGACAAAATGGAGACATGAGGAAAACTATCTCACTTAATGAACTGCTTCATTAAACTGATTCTCAAGTGTGAGTGGGTATTAGGATATCACCTTACTCCTTAATGCATTTTTGTTAAAAATGTAGCCTCTCAGCTGGGTGCAGTGGCTCACACCTACAATCCCACACTTTGGGAGGTCCAGGCAGGCAGATCTCTTAAGGTCAGGACCACTCTGGCAAACATGGTGAAACCCAGTCTCTACTGAAAATAAATTATTTGGGCATGGTGGTGTGTGCCTGTAGTTCCTTCTACTTGGAAGGCTGAGGCAGGAGAATCCCTTGAACCCAGGAGGCAGAGGTTGCAGTGAGCTGAGATGGTGCCACTGCACTCCAGCCTGGGTGACTGCACAAGACTCTGACTCAAAAAAAGAAAAAAATGCAGATGCTCTGTAGTTTGCTACCGGTATAAAAAAAAAAATTAACAGTTACTCAGCTCAGGCCTGAATGGAAGATAGACTTGGGAAATTGGCATCTAGGATAAAGACTGGTTTCAATGTGTCTGCATTTCAGTTTGGCTGTAACTTGATGTATGAGAGACTTGCAATATAGTACTTCAAAGTAAGAACTGGAGCTGTGGGAATTCTGCATCCATGGGAACAGGAATTTTTGTTGTGTTCACATTATTCCCAGGACTAAAAAGGTGCCTGCTAAGTATCTGTTAAATGTATAGGGGGAAAATAGATGAGCCAATAGGAACATTTTACACAAATGCTTACCTACACATCAGGCACTAAAGCAGACCGGAATACAGCAGTCAAAGCTCAGGGAGGAGAAGAGAGACCCCAACCAGCTTTTCAGACAGTGACCACAAAGATTACACAGGATGCTGTGACAGTAGAGGGAGGGCAGCAAGAACTGTCAAAGAAGGCCCCTGTGAGGAGCAGCAGGTAGCTCACCGGCCCTTGGACCCACTGTTTTCTTCCTTCCTGTAAGCTGAGCTTGAGCTCCCTGTGCTCCAGGTAAGGCCATGCCTTGCTGGCAGGATGAAAGTGAGCCCAGAGCTCCAGTTTTCTTGGTAAATCTCATACTTCATCTCACCCTTCAAGCCCTCCTGTCATTCTTCCTCACTCAAATTTTCATCTTCATGTACATCCCCTGCTGTGACCTCCATCTCCCTCTCCTCCCAGCTGCAGAAACTCAATTCACTTTACCCCTGAGAATTCAGCAAGACCCACCCCCACTGCGTCCTCCACCTCTGCTTTGAACGTTCCCTTCACCTTCTTTCCTCGTTGCCTTGCAGTCCCATTTGCTCTATCACTCCCCTCCTGCCACCACCACAAGGTCAGGGTAAGATGTCCTCCTTGTCCCTCACTGCTGCCTCCAATGGTGTCCTTCCCTAAAACCCCTGCAGAAGGCTGATGCTATCAGTCTGTTGTACCTACTAACCCCAGGCCCATCCCCTCAGCTCCTCATCACAGACCTGGCTCATGGTCAACCCACTCTCGAGGTTACTCACATCATAATTCTTAGTGACTTCACTAGCCATGCAGATGCTGCCTCCAGTAACCCGGTCTCTTACTGACTTCTCCAATGGTCTCATCATCCTCACCTTAGACATTCACCACTCCCATGGTCACATCCTAGACCTGTTGTATTTTTTTGTTTTGTTTTTTCTTTTTAAAGAGACAGGCTCTCTCTGTCACCCAGAGTGGAGTGCAGTGGCTTGATCATAGCTGGTTTCAACCTTGAGCTTCTGGGCTCAAGCAATCCTGATCATCCTCCTCAGCCTACAAAGCATCTGGGACCACAGGTGTGCGCCATCATGCCCAGCTATTTTTTTAATTTTTAGAGATGGCGTCTTACTTTGTTGCTCGAGCTGATCTCAACCTCCTTGCCTCAAGCAGTCGTCCTGCCTCAGACCCTCTAAGTGCTGGGATTACAGGTGTGAATCACCACACCCAGCCTAGACCTTGACATTGTAACTGCTCTATATGATTTCAATTCTGGGCATCCCACTCTGACTCCTGCCTTCCCAGTCATGCCCAATGCCCCCTGTGCAAGAATTCTAAACCACCACGAGGACATACAACCCACTGGCTCTACTACCTTCATCACTGTCCTTCCCCTCTACTCATGTCTTTCATTCCTCCTTACCCAGCTTAGACTAGTTTTATTCACTCCCTTGCCCCCATTATCCCACCATATTCACCTGGCGAAACCCCTCCTTTGTTAACTGTTAACCAGACTCGGTGCCTACACCATTTAGCTGAATAGCTGGAGAAAAACATACAACCCTGCTGGCCTAGATCATGCCACTGATCTCAAACGAACTGGTGTTCTCCGGCAAATGTATTACATTTTATCCATTTACTCTGTAATGAGACATCTCATACAATTTCCAGTATCTCCTCTTTCTTCCCCACTTTCCTTTCAGCTGATGATGTTTCAGTAAGATAGGCAATTAGAAGAGAATTTCCACATGCTTCCACCACCACATCTAACAACCTAACCATCTTCCAAGGACATTCGCTCTGCCTTGAAACCCATCCTCTACCTGGACGAGGATGTCACTCCAACACTTAGTCCCCTCATCATCAGTTTTCTTCCATTAGCATAGAAACACAGTGTTACCTAAATAAACGGTCAGGCATGGTGGCTCACGCCTGTAACGCTAGCACTTTGGGAGGCCGAGGTGGGTGGATCAACTGAGGTCAGAAGTTCGAGACTAGCCTGGCCAACATGGTGAAACCCTGTATCTACTAACAATACAAAAATTAGCCAGGCATTGCGGCGAGCACCTGTACTCCCAGCGACTTGGGAGGCTGAGGCAGGAGAATCGCTTGAACCGAGGAGGTAGAGGTTACTGTGATTGGAGAGCATACCACTGCACTCCAGCCTGACTGAGCAACAGTTGTAAACTCCATCTCCAGGAAAAAAAAAAAAAAGGATGATATATCTATAGCCACACAATGAGTATTATACATCAGCTACCAAGGGAAAAAAATGGGGAGTAGGTGTGATGGCTCACATCTGTAATCCCAACGGTGTGGCAGGCTGAGGAAGGAGGATGGTTTGAGACCAGGAGTTCTAGACCGGCCTGAACATAAGAAGACCCTGTCTCTACAATTAAAGAAAAAAAGAAAAAAATCTGGGTACTGATATGGAAACAGCTCCAAGATATGTTACATGAAAAATAGAAGGTACAGGATAGTATGCTACCTGGTGTCAGAAAGGGGAAAGAGGCTAGGCACGGTAGCTCATGCTCGTAATCCCAGCACTTTGGGAGGCCAAGGCAGGAGGATCACTTGAATTCCGGAGTTGGAGACCAGCCTGGGCAACCTAACAGGACCTTGTCTCTACTAACAAAAAAAAAAAAAAGGAAAGAAAATCAGGCAAGCATGGTGATGCAGGCCTGCAGTCCTAGATACTCAGGAGACTGAGGCAGGAGGTTACCGGAGCCCAGGAGTTCTAGGCTGCAATAAGCTATGATCACGCCACAGCTCTCCAGTCTGGGCAACAGAGTGAGACACTGTCTGAAATAAGAGGGGGAAAAAAAAAAGGAAAATCTTTTTTAATGTATACTCCTATTTGCTTGTATTTATAGAAAGAAACTTTGGACAACTGCCCCAAAACTGGTAAAGGGGTAAAATATTTTAAAAAGCATGCTTGATGTACAGGATCTTGGTGGCTGAGGACAGCAGTGGGAACCAGACTGAACAGTCCTTTTCATATAGGATTTTCATTTTTGAACCATGTGCAAACATTACCTATTCAATTTTTTAAAACCAAACATGAAAATATATAAATGAAGGCATATGTCATTCCTTTGCCCCAAACTAGCGCCTTCTGATCTCACCAAAAGTGAAAGGCAAAGTGCCCTCATCACCTACAACACCTCCTAGCCCACTCTGGCTTCTCTGCCATTTCCTGAACATGGCAAGCAAATTCCAACCTCAGATCCCTGGCACTGCTCTTCCCTCTACCTGGAGCACTCTTCCCTCCAGACATCAGCTTTGCTCCCTCCTTCTTTACTCCGTTCAAATATCTGCTGAGTCACCCTACAGAAAATAGCACCCTCTCTTTGTAATGTATTAGATATATTTATTTACTGTCTCTCCCACTCCCAAAATGGAAGCTTTGTGGGGATATGGACTGTTTTGTTCTCTACCGCATTCCCTGAACCTAGAACAACGCCTGGCACATAGTAGGTGCGCAGTAAGCATTCACTGAAGTAATATAACTATGGGGGGATTGAAGCGTATGAGGAAGGTACTATTATTCTCATTTTACAGATGAGGAAATTGAAGCAGAAAAGCTGAGAAGAAAAGCCAAGATTTAACTGTCTAGTACATGAGTGTTCATTAACCTTTCAACTTCTGTAGGGCAAAGAAGGGTCTCTGGAGGATACCCAAGTAAAGAATTATAGCATTTGCCTTGCCTGTTTAGGTCAGAAAGATGGCAAACAGTGGGCAGAGGAGCCTTCATGCCGTCTTACATCTTTTCTGTGGCCTACACAGGTCCACAGAAGAAAATAAAGACTGAGCTTTGTGAATATTGTATCTAGTCACAAAGTAAATTAATATTCTACATATCAATAACCCAGATGTCCTACCACAAGTAAACGGTTAAAAAGAGTTTGGTACATACCATGGAACACTACTCAGCAGGAAAAAGAAATCAACTACCGATACATGCAGTGATTTGGATGAATCCCCAGATGATTAAGTGAGTGAAAAAAGCCAATCCCAAAAGATTACATATTGTATGCTTTGAAATCAGGGGTCCCCAGCCCCTAGGTCATGCGCTGGTACCAGTCCAGGGCCTGATAGAACCCAGGCTGCACAGCAGGAGGTGAGCAGCCAGCGACAGCATTACCACCTGAGCTCCGCCTCCTGTCAGGTCAGCGGCAGCATGGCATTCTCACAGGAGCTCAAGAATCAACTGTGAGCTGTGCATGTGAGGGATCCAGGGTGCATTCTCCTTTCGAGAATCTAATGCCTGATGATCTGAGGAGGAACAGTTTCATCCCCAAACCACCCCCACTCCATCTGTGGAAAAACTGTCATCCACAAAACCGGCCCCTGGTGCCAAAAAAGTTGGGGACCACTGATTTCTGTAACACTCTTGAAATGACACAATTATAAAAATGCAGACCAGATTAGTGGTTACCAAAGGTTATGGCGGGGGTGAAGATGGGAGGGAATTGGGGCAGCTATAAAAGGGTAACATGAGGGATCTTTGTGGTGATGGCAAAGTTCTGTATCTTGACTGAATCAACACAAATATGCTGGTTATAATGTACCAGAGTTTTGAAGATGGTAGGTCTGGGGCAAACTGGGTACGGGATCTCTCTGTACTACTTCTTAAAACTTCATGTGACTCTGTAATTGTCTCAAAATAAGAAGCTTAACAAAAATATATAAAAATCTAGGTTAAGAACATCTAGCCAGTACTTTTTGTTGTTGTTTGTTTTTTTCCTACCATCTAGCCAGTATTGTTAACCAGTATATTATCTGGTTCCCTAGACAATCAAGAGTCTGCCACGTGAGGATCTGGAGAAAGAGTTGAGATAACAGAGTTCCAGGCATGGAAACAAGCAACTGAGAAAGCTTAATAGGAGAACAAAACTACCATGTTGAAAAAAACAGAAAGCAGACGAGTGTCAGTGTCACTGGAGTATAGTGAGAGATGGATAGATGACTAAGACAAGATGAAAAGGACAGGCATGGGCCAGGTAATCTCAATCTTTACAGACCACTGTAAGGCATAAGAATCTTACGTTTAAGTGGTATATGGGTAGAATCCAATAATTATTAGGTTTCTTTCTTTTTTTTTTTTGTAAGGCTGAAGACAAGAATCCTATGTACCCAAGGAGATAATAAAAAGTGCAAGGAAACAGCAATACCAAACAGCATGAAATGAATTATGTAGTACTTAAGAAGTCATTAAAATGCAGCTTGTACATGGTAACAAGCAAAAGGCAGAAAGTCAAATTCTGGTCCTGTAAGTTCAATCAGGCCTGTATTTCTTGGGTTAAGAAAAAAAACTGTAGACTGGGCACAGTGGCTCAAGCCTATAATCCCAGCACTTTGGAAGGCCGAAGCCAGCAGAGCACTTGAGGTCAGGAGTTTGAGACCAGCCTGGCCAACATGGTGATACCCTGTCCTCACTAAAAATACCAAAGTTAGCTGGGCATGGTTGCACACGCCTGTAATCCCAGGTACTTGGGAGGCTGAGGAAGGAGAATCACTTGAACCTGGGAGGCAAAGGCTGCAGTGAGCCAAGATCACACCATTGCACTCTGCACTCCTGCCTGAGCAACAGAGCGAGACTTCGTCTCAAAAAACAAGAAAGAAAAAAAAATTGTAAAAGTTTTACAGATATTAAGAATGCAATGATCTGAAAATAAACTAGCCAAAAGTCTACGCTGTAATTTACATGGCATAATTCACATTTGGCATTTTTAACATGTCCACTTGCCTCTTTTTTGTCTTTGAACTTGTCAATTTCTTTCTTCAGAAGCTCCACTCTTTGAAAGGATTCAAGGTTATTCACACTGTACACAAGAACAAAGCCATCAGCAAATGAAAAATAATGTTTTGGCAGCTCCACGCCTTCCTGTAGACCTCTGGTGTCATAAAGATGTAACTGTTCTTTTACTCCGCGATCTGTTTCTACTGAAGCCATGTACACATCTTCCATTGTTTCACAATCTTCCATTCCTGGGATTAAGAAATGAAATTACTCTTTTTGGCTAAGCCGTGTCAATTGCTCAGTATTTTCTTGTCTTTTAGAAACTGGCTTTCTAGGTTTCCTATTTACCACATATAATAATCACATCTTACTTTTTTTTTTTTTTAAACAAGGTCCTGCTCTGTTGCCCAGGCTGAAGTACAGTGGCTCAATCTGAGCTCACTGCAACCTCCACCTCCTGGGTTCAAGGGATCCTCCCACCTCAGCCTCCCAAGTAGTCCCTCCTAGCTGGGACTACAGGTGCCACCATGCCCAGCTAATTTTTGTATTTTTTGTAGACGGGGTTTCACCATGTTGCCCAGGCTGGTCTTGAACTCCTGGGCTCAAGCAAGCCACCCACTTTGGCCTCCAAAAGTGCTGGGATCACAGGTGTGAGGCACTGCACCCGGCCTAAACAAAATTATTTTTAAATATATTTCTTCTGTAAAAAAACAAAAATTCCCTTCTTGTTTACCATCTTTTAAAGATGCATTTTACCAGTTGGTTACATTTATGCAAGTTTGTCTCTTCAACTAGTCTCTAAGTTTACTGAGTGAAAGGAACCATTCTGTGTACACAGCAAATACTCAATAAGCCCTTTTTGATAAAGGAATTAAAGGTAAAAGATTAACTCTCTGAATTTTAATACGTAGTAGAGAGACATCTGATAAGACAGGTAGGGTATAGTCCCAGTAACCACCTTCATATTTAAGTATGAAGCCAGGCTTAGTGGCTCACACCTGCAATCGCAGCACATTGGAAAGCCTAGGTGGGCAAACCACCTGAGGTCAGGAGTTTGAGATCAGCCTGGCCAACATGGCAAAACCCCGTTTCTGTTAAAAATACAAAAGTTCGCCAGGCGTGGTGGTAGGCACCTATAATCCCAGCTACTCAGGAGGTTGAGGCAGGGAGAATTGCTTGAATCTGGGAGGTGGAGGTTGCAGTGAGCCGAGATCATGCCACTGTACTCCACCTTGGGCTGGAGTACACAGAGAGATTCATCTAAAAAAAAATTATAATTAAAATTAATAAATGAGATATATCCAGAAGTAAAATCACATGGATAACATCCTATATCCCCAATCATATAAGTTTTTAGAAAATTCTAGTTACAGTTTTCCTAAACAACCTAAACGGTGTAGAATGATTCGTTCCCGGTGCCCGACATGAAGTGTCCATGAGCATTAGATTACATAAAATCTCCATAAGTATTAGATTACAAGGAATAACCACATGATGATACACAGATGAGATCATGAGAAACCAAAAATTTACTTTCATCAACATAACTCATAAGGAATGTATTCAGTGTTTAGAAAGGTAAAATTGTTCATAAATTTGATTATGTATGTATGTGTCTGTGTCATCCTGTCATAAATTAAGCCTCAAGGTAATTAAAGGTTATCTATTAAAACACAAACCTATTGGGTTTTGATTACAAATTAATTTAAAAGCACCGGGCGCGGTGGCTCACGCCTGTAATCCCAGCACTTTGGGAGGCCTAGGCGGGTGGATCACAAGGTCAAGAGATCGAGACCATCCTGGTCAACATGGTGAAACCCCGTCTCTACTAAAAATACAAAAACCTTCGCTGGGCATGGTGGCGTGTGCCTGTAATCCCAGCTACTCAGGAGGCTGAGGCAGGAGAATTGCCTGAACCCAGGAGGCGGAGGTTGTGGTGAGCCGAGATCGCGCCATTGCACTCCAGCCTGGGTAACAAGAGCGAAACTCCGTCTCAAAAACAAAAACAAAAAAAACAAAACAAATTAATTTAAAAGCAAAAACTACCAAGCGTTTTGTCATGTGATGTTTTATCCACCAAAAAACCAGTCCAGTTATCCCACCCCTACCTGCCTCTCCAAAAGGGTTCTAAAGCTCAGACCTTTTGATATTTTGGTCCTCTAAAGATCAAATCAAGTCAGGAATCTTCCACTAGTTCTCTAGATCTCCTCTCCCACTCCATGTTGCTGGGCAACTACCCATCTCGCACACCAAGGGAAGGCTTAAGGGTGCAATCTCTGGAGAAGGTTAAATAGAGGTTGTCTGGACTGTGGGATAAGGGGTATGAGTTCCAGGGTGAAAACGGGGCAATTAAGTGACATGCCTGCACACACACATACTGAATGTTGAAGTCCTCTGGCTCTCCCTTTCTGCTCCCCAAACACTGGCAGCCGGGTCTTTATTCCCATCCAGAGGAATCTGGAGAATCTGGCCAATGGAAAAGGAAACAATCCTAAATATACTGACACCTAGAGTTCCCCAGCAAATGCCCCAGCCAGATCACCTTAGTGAAGCTCCAAGTCATGAACCCTAACCAGATGCTCAGACCTTCCAATTGGCTTTTTCTCCCCACCTTGAGATGGAGTCGTGCTCTGTCGCCAGGCTGGAGTGCAGTGGCGCAATCTCGGCTCACTGCAACCTCCGCCTCCTGGGTTTAAGCTATTCTTCTACCTCAGCCTCCCAAATAGCTGGGACCACAGGCGCATGCCACCACGCCCGGCTAATTTTTGTATTTTTAGTAGAGATGGGGTTTCACCATGTTGGCCAGGATGGTCTTGAACTCCTGACCTTGTGATCCACCCACCTCGGCCTCCCAAAGTGCTGGGATTACAGGCATGAGCCACTGCGCCCAGCCTCCAACTGGCTTTTTAAGTCCTCAGTATTTATTTTTGAGACAGGGTCTCACTTTGTCATCTAGGTTGGAGTTCAGTGGGACAATCTCAGCTCAATCGCAGCTCACTGCAGCCTCGACTTCCTGGAGTCAAGTGATCTTCCCACCACAGTACCCCAAGTAGGTGGGACTACAGGTGCACACCACCAAGCCCCACTAATTCTTGTATTTTTTTGTACAGAGGGGTTTCATCATGTTGCCCAGGCTGGTCTGAAACTTTTGAGCTCAAAGAATCTGCCTGCCTCGGCCTCCCAAAGTGCTAGGATTACAGGCATGAGCCAACGCACTGGGCCTAGGTGTTCATTTTTATGAACAGAAAATTCAAGGACTAGCCCAGAAGGTCCAGCATCCACAAAGAGAGTTTCAGAAAAAAAGAGCAGAGAACACAGAGGAAAGAAAACAACAACAAAATAATTCAAAACTGAAGAACATGCATTTCCATGTAGAAGGGGCCCTTTAAGTGTCCACTACAGTAAGTGAAAACAGATTAGCCAGGCGTGGTGGCTCACGCCTGCAATATCAGCACTTTGCAGGGCCAAGGCAGGCAGATCACCTTAGGTCAGGAGTTTGAGACCATCCTGGGCAACATAGTGAAACCCCATCTCTACTAAAAATACAAAAATTAGCTAGGCATGTTGACACATGCCTGTAATCGTAGCTACTCAGGAGGCTGATGTGGGAGAATCGCCTGAACCCAGGAGGTGGAGGTTGCAGTGAGCTGAGATCGTGCCACCATACTCCAACTTGGGCAACAGAGTAAGACTCCATCATTTTTTAAAAAAAAAAAAAAAAAAAAAAAAGATCAATTATATGACACATCATTGAAATTTCAGAACACCGGTGTTTTAGTTTATTTGTGCTCCTATAACAAAATACCACAGACTGGGTAACTTATAAATGGAAAATTTCTCTCTTCAGTTTTGGAGGCTGGAAGTCCAAGATCAAGGTGCCAGTAGGTCTGGTGTCTTGTTACAGCTCAGTCTCCACTGCAAGATGAAGCCTTATTGCTGCCTCCTTGGGAGGGGTCAAATGCTGTGTGGCAGGAGAGACAGAGGGCAAGAGAGCACTCCCTTCAACCTAAGGCCTTTTATAAGGATGCTAATCTTTCATGAGGGATTAGTCCTCAGAAGGTGAAGAGTGGAGCCCTCATGACTTAATCACGTCTTACAGGCCACACCGTTTAATACTGTTGCAATGAGGATGAAGTTTCAATGTGAAGTTTGGAAGGGACACTATCCTTCAAATCACAGCAACTGGGAACAAAGAACAGAGCCTAGAAAAGCTTCCACAGACAAAGCACTGAGAATCATAATGGCTCCCAGATTCTCAAAAGTAGCACCAGAAGAAGACAATAGAAGCCGGTAAAGTTAGAGACACACCTTCTATGACTAAGCAATTTCATTCCTAGATATGCATCCCAGGATTTATCATGTAATAGCCAGGATACATGTACAATAATGTTCCAGAGTAGCATTATTGTCAATAGCTCCAAACGGGAAATAACCCAAATGTTCATCAAGACAGAAGAGATAGTGGTAGCATTATAAGGTATAGCAATGAAAAGTAAACAACCACAGCTACAGCAAAATGGATGAATCTGAATTTTTTTTTTGCCTAAATAGAGATGGGTCTCCTGATGCTTCCCAGGCTGGTCTCAAACTCTTGGGCTCAAGTGAACTTCCCACTTCAGCCTCCCAAAGTTTTAGGATTCCAGTGGTCAGCCACCATGCCTGGCCTGATGTATCTTACAAATATAATGTTGAGTGAAAGAAGCCACACATGGATGAGTTTAATTCATATAAAATCCATAAGGTAAAAATAACTATACCGCCGGGCGCGGTGGCTCAAGCCTGTAATCCCAGCACTTTGGGAGGCTGAGGCAGGTGGATCACGAGGTCAAGAGATTGAGACCATCCTGGTCAACATGATGAAACCCCGTCTCTACCAAAAATACGAAAAACTAGCTGGGCATGGTGGCGCGTGCCTGTAATCCCAGCTACTCAGGAGGCTAAGGCAGGAGAATTGCCTCAACCCAGGAGGCGGAGGTTGCGGTGAGCCGAGATCGCGCCATTGCACTCCAGCCTGGGCAACAAGAGCAAAACTCCGTCTCAAAAAAAAAAAAATAATAACTATACCATTTAGTGATACATACATATGTGGCAATTAAAGAGAATGATTAACCAAGTCAAGGGAAGGACTGAGCTGCCACTGAAGAGAGGAACGCAGGGAGCCACTGGCGTGTCCTCAATGCTATATTTTTTGATCCATGTGGAGATTCTGTCAAGGTTTGTCTCATAATTATTGATTAAACCATACATG